AAGTATTAGTTACCGACTTGCTTAAAAAACATCCCGAAACACTAATAAATTCTACAGAAATAAATTGTCATAAAGGTAAATTTATCTGTACTTAATATTTTCTTCAGTTACCTCCTTTAGAATTTTTTAATGAATCAAATACAAATGAGTGAAGACTATATTTTAAATTCAAATTTAATTATAATCTATTTTGATTATAATTAATATGCTCTGTAGAATGATGAAATAAGTATGTATATATATATGTACACACACACATACACACACCTACTTGTGTATATATATGATTGTATTCTCTTTACAGATACAAATGCCGATGCTCCTACACTATCTGAAGACGAAAAGCAAGACAATGCAGAACTACCATTGATCGAAGATAAAACTGCATCAGATATTCTTGATCTTCTCACGGAAATCAAAGACTGTAAAGATACATGTATTATAGAACCTAATTTTCATCCATGTCCATGGTGCTCCGGAAGGCTCATTACCGTGTAATCATGAATAATAAATTTGTTTAATCTTTGTTATAACTAATTTATAATATAATATAAATTAGTCATGTAGAATAATAATACTTGTATATAGAGTTCTTAGACTTTTCTAAAACTTCTGTATTTATCTCTTGTAAAAGTACGGACGTAAGATTTTTATCCGAAGGGAGTTATTTTATAAATATACAGTGCCTTGAATAATTTTGCAGATAGAATTTTTGTTTTCTCTTGCACCTAGCTAACAAAAAGCTAACAGATTGTGAATATCAATATTTTGTCGCAAATAAACACTCAATATTTTAATGAAATTTTTATTTTGAATAGTAATTAAAAATGTACATACTATGCTTTCAAAGCATATTTTCTCTGTGGATACGTAGAGCGTTTGCGTATCTCCTTCAAAGTTTTCCTGCTGGCTTGATAGGGAGTAAGAACGCGACGTAGAGCCCTCGTTTTCTTGGGCCTCAAGTCAAGGGGCTTGTACTTTTTATTTTTGTAAAGTAAGCGGAGGTTTCCCTTTTGCTTCTGGTGCATAATAATATACACTCGTGCAATAGCTTTCCTCACGACACGACTAGAATAAAATAAATAGAAAAATTCATAGAAACATTGCAGATTAAAATTAATTTCTACATATTATCCATATAAAATGATATATATCAACAAATTTCTCAATAGATTTCAAAATTTTTTAATATCTTAAATAAAATGAGATAAAGTATGAATATCAAAAAAACAAATGCATGTTCAATATTTTTTTATGTAATTTTATCATTTTATAAATTATTTACATCATAATTTGAAAGACTATTAAGACATTTGTAATGAATTATAAAAATCAGAAAACTTACATCTTGGACAATTTTGACGCAGCTCCTCCAGTCACTTTGGCCACTCGTAGAGTGGTCAATTCTGTTTTGAGCTGTTCGAGCTGCTTCATCAGCTCCCGCTTATCTTTGGTCCTTAATTCAGAACACTTCACTTTTGCCTAGAACAATTCAATATACATGTTAAGTACATTCACATGTTGTATACTGTCTAAAACAAAATGACTACACGAGTTACAAATCGTCGTTATGAATCTAATTGTAATGTAATATTGTTTTATTTGCCTAGATATGAATTGCTATACAAAAATACAATCTCCTTTTATTTTCCGTCTAATTTATAACTCAACAATTGTGATGCTCTGTTCGATAATACAAGGTTATGTGACATAAATTTGTCTCATGAGAGTAAAATTTGATAATATTCATAAGCCATTGATTAGACTGTGAAAATAACACAATTTTCATCAAATAATCGGAGTACATTAACCATTGATGTTATAAATAAATTCGGATTACAATCTCACGATCTCACTAACCATCTTGAATCGGTTTTCTTTCAATAAGGAAAAGAATCATGGACGATGATAATCGTGAAAGGGATAAAAGAGGGAGCTGATGGAAGGCAGAATGACCAACGTACAATAAACGTTAAATTACGTTTCCCTAGAATCAATGGACACATCCACAACGATCACTGAACTAAAATAGTAATCGAATGTGATTGGTTTTTATTGTTTGACTTAACTTATTAAATATTTTATGTAAGTTTCTGTCCTGAGGATTTAATACAGAGACGAACCACATTTACTTTTGACGATACAATTTTATCGATAGTGTCAGAAAATGTATGTAGTCACATAATTTCTAAACTAAAAATAAATGTACTGACGGTAATGTACGGGTGATTTCAAGTAACAAGAAGAAGGTTGGCATGGCCTCTCTCAGATTTTTCTCTAGCCCCTCTGATTATAACATATTGTTGGATCCAAAGAGATTACTGAATTAACGGAGATAGTAAAAATTGTTGGAATTTTGTTTTACAGTTTAAGAAAATTTTCATGTTGAGTAAGAAAATATTCTGGCAGTTTTTGAAAATAGCTTGTAAGTTCGATATACTAAGATGAAAAAAATGTGATAAAAATGCTGAATTTTTCTTATTCTTTCTTCTAACTGTAAATAATACTTGTAACTTTTATAAACAAATTATCATTATATATTTTTTAATTTATGATTGAATTAGATTTAAAACAATTTATTATTCGATTTATTATTCTATTGTAGGTTTCAATCTCTCTCTCTCTTTGAGTTAAAACTGCTAAGAATAAAACATAAACAATGGGGAAGCATGAAGTAGGCACACCAAAGTACATCGCTAATAAAATCAAGGCAAAAGGATTGCAGAAGTTAAGATGGTATTGTCAAATGTGTCAAAAACAGTGTCGGGATGAGAATGGATTCAAGTGTCACACAATGTCAGAGTCACATCATCGGCAGCTATTGCTGTTCGCAGAAAATGCGCATCGATATATGGATCAATTCTCACGGGAATTTTCACAGGGATATCTGAATCTATTGAAGAGGCAATTTGGCACCAGACGAGTACCAGCAAATCGAGTATACCAAGAATACATTGCTGACAGAGGACATATACATATGAATGCGACTCAGTGGCTCACTTTGACTGCATTTGTAAAATGGCTTGGACGTACTGGACAGTGCGTTGTCGACGAAACTGAAAAAGGTTTGTACATTATTAAAATTTATTTATAATTGTTGATAATTACAAATTTATCTATCGATAAAATTTTAAATTTAAAAAAATGTATTTTATATTATTTCAGGCTGGTATATAACATATATTGATAGGGATCCTGAGACACTTGCAGCACAGGAAAGAAAAGCGAAGAAGGAAAAAATGGACAAAGATGATGAGGAACGACTGATGGATTTTATTGACAAGCAAATAGAAAGAGCAAAACAGGATACAAAAGATGAGAAGGGTGAAACATCTAAGACACCATTGATGCGTCCTGAGAATGATACACCCTTGGTTCTTGACATAAAGCTAAAACCAAAACCAAAATTGCTTCCTGTTCTTGAAGTAAAGCAGGAAAAGATAAAAAGTGAAGATAGCCAAAGTAAATCAGTTTCAAGTAAATCAATCGATGAGAAAAACGAAAAACTCAAAAGATCCATTGATGACAATAAGACAGAATCTGTCAAGAAGTTAAAAAGTAACGATGATCCTTCTACAGCTGAAGGTTGGCTTAGGGAAGGTTTAATGGTTAAAGTAACCACGAAGAGTCTAGGTGACAAATATTACAAAGCTAAAGGCGTTGTTCAATCAATTGGAACAGATGGTTTCGTTGGTAAAGTAAAACTGAAGACACCAGAAGAAGTTAATGGACATATTATACGACTGGATCAAGAATATTTAGAGACAGTAATTCCTGCGATAGGTAAAGAAGTTCTTATTCTTTGGGGAAAACATAAAGGTATGAGAGCAATAGTGAAAAAATTACATGTAGAGCACTATAGCATAGACATTGAACTCAAAAAAGATAAGCAAATTTTGAAGAAACTGCCATATGAACAAGTATGCAAGTATATAGATTGAAAAACAATTGTGTGGAAAAAAATATTAGGAAAAAGATATTATATTTTAGCGTTGTTCAGTGATAGCTTGTATTACATTCGTTGTATTACTTCGAAGAGCACCTGTGTACAAATTTTACAGCTAAATAAGAAATTTCAAGCTTGTATATAAAGTAGATATCATAAAATAATATAATTTATATTACTTTACATAATGTAATATAAATTTTACATGCAATCCCTGGGAAACAATTTTTTGTGAAACGTCCATTTAAGACAAACTTTTTATTGAATATTATCACAATTACATTTTATTACATATCAGTGTTTGTATGGTGCAAATACATATGTAAAATTAAGAGAATTAGAAATCTCATCGTCCACATAAATAAAACGCTATAATTTAAAAATCAAAGTCTGAAATTATTGTTTCTTAAATTTGATGAGTATCAATCTCTTAAATTAAGAAATGTAAAAAATAAAATATAATCTTATTTAAGAAAAATGAGTGTATATAAATATGTATATTATCCTTCTTTGTAAGGATATATCAGAATTTTTAAATGTCTTATATTTTTTTCGACTAAATATTCATTTTGTATATGTATATATATCTTTTATATTATACGTTTTAAATAAAACAAAACATTAATCATTATTTATTTCATATGTGTGTGTGTGTATCCAATTACAATATTTTTCTCTTCCGAATGCTTTTATATATTACAAGTATTTTATATGTATAGTAAATTTATTCTCTCTACACATATACGTACAATATAAGAATATATATAAAAATTTATATTTTTATCTAAAAAAGAAATTTGAAGAAATTAAAATAAATATATATAACTTACAGAATTCATACAGTTTACAATACAAATTATCTCTATTTAAAAAATTGAAACAAAAAATAAAAGCGTGATGGTTCTAATTTTATACATATGTATATTATTTCATAAAAAATATTTACACATATTGATATATTAATGTTAACTCGATCTTTACAATTACATGATTGTTTACAATTACATTATTGATGTAAAAGGAGAACAATATCATTGACAAATATTACTGTGTGATATATATACAGAGTGCAATAGTATATAAATATAATACACATAGTTCTATTCGGTTTTGCAAATCATTCGCTCACGTATGCTTTGCACTGGGAAACATTCTTTATCAAGTAATATAATACGGCCATTGATTTTAAAAAATATGCCGTTTCGATTTTTACGATTAAATGCAGGAACAGCAGTACCTTCGCCAAAAGTTTCCATTTGTGTTTTGCCTAATATTCTGTTTACAAACACAGCCTTGTATATTTTATCTACAGAATTATAATAAATTCGGAACGGAATTGTTTTGCTGCCTACTATGAATATAATTGCTAAAGTACAACTACCAAATATCAACAATAGTCTTTCCAAATTAGAAGAAGGCCTTAATATTAATTGGTCATCGGATAATGTATTCTCTACTTCTTCCTGTACCGGTGGTTTCAGGATGAAATATCCCAGAATAAACAGACTAGCAGCAAGACTTAGCCAACCAAAATGATATGTTGAAGTAATTAATGTACACAAATTTGATTGTTCCCTATATACAAGTCGATAACCATTGCTTATATTGTCCTTAAGTTTATATTTTTGCTCTGCCCAGGCATTTGTCTTATTAGTAAGATATTCATGACTTCTCACAAGAGTGTTTTTATTAATAGGACCAGAAATTATATTCTTGTGAAAAACAGGTCGCCATAAAATGGAAGTCTTATTCAGAAGATAAGCCATTTTTGTGACTTACAAACAATCCTGTAACATCAAGTGTAGAAACATGTATAAATAATCATCAAAGGAGAAATGACTGCCTAGACTTATTAAACTGATCAGATTAATTATATCATATTAAATTTATTAAATAATCTAATATATATGTAATTATTATATTTCTCTTCAAAAAAAAAATATATATATATATAGGACCAGGCATGTATTTGAAATACCTTTATTTAAAACACACTATTTGCAATATAAGTATTTTGTGTTTTTTATTTTAGCGGATCACATAAAAATATTATATATTTTATATTTAAAATCAAAAGAAATTGAAAGTTTTTTGCATCTTTTAATTCAAATAATAAGGTTTATCAATAAGGATTATCAATATTAATATTTAAAATAATTTTTAAAATACAAAATACTTTTATATGTTGCTATGAAATACAAAATACAAAATATTTTCATATATTCCGAACAAACACAAAATACAAAATATAATATAATTGTCTTACTAATACTGTCTCAAATAAAATAATACTGTTTCAAATAAAAATATTTCAAATACATGTCTAGCTCTGTATATATATTACTTTACAATAAATATAATTATATAACAAAAATAGTAAGAAGCTGTTTTTAAAGCTATAAGAACAAAATAATAACGTAAAAAAAAATACAAATATACTACAATGTGCTGCAATACTCAAAAATACAATTAAATAATAAATTGAACTCAATTATATTAATCATAACAAATACAATTTAATTGTTAATTGGGGTCCTTACTCATTCAGTAAATATCCTTCGATATAAAATAATCTTTGCGATAAAATTTTTAATATACTTCAAAGCTTTGGAAGCATTTAATTATTGATAAAATCACACCACGTGAAATATTATAAACACGCTTCACCAAAACTAGGTTAAGCGGACGTATACATGACTACGTAACATAATTCATATATACGACAATCCACAACCATCCACGACGCTCACCTCACGACCCACGTTTTGTGCACCACGACCAATCGTCAATTAATTTAAAAGTTGGTGAAAGAGACTCGTAACATGCCGTTATTCAATTGCGATGACTCCGACTCCGATGGAGAATTGAAGATAAACAAGGAATATGCCAATATCTATGATAATTTCCGTCAAAAGGAAGAGTTACATAAATGTGAGTAAACCTAACCTTTAACAGACGCAACAGATTTTTTATTGGATAATCCCTAATTGGAATACAATACTGTGTCTTTTAAAAATATGTTTTCTTTCAACTGTTTAATTTTTTCAATCTCTGTAAGACGTATACACACACACACACATATATATATATATAT